CTTGGATGACAGAAGTGGAATGGCTTTTCTTCTGAGAGAGAAAGTATATACAGCAGATATTTATAAAACTGTACATGAATGCATGATTTAATGTAGTTAAATATTAATATGGTGAGTGCCAAGACTTTTCTAAGGCACGTTATTATGTGATTCAAAGTGAAGGCGAACACACGTTCCCTTTTGCACGGAGCGCTGGGCTTTGAGCGGTGTTCGGTGGCTCTCCGGCCCCTCGGGGCGGCAGCAGCAGCGCCTGGAGATCGAGGTGCGGTGGCACTGGAGCCTCCATCAGGTCCTAGCACGGCTTGGAGACGCGGGACTGTTTCTTTCCAAAAAATCTGCTTAGATGTGCATTGCTTGAAGCGTTGCCTTTCACGCGTGGTAGTTCCAAACGTTATTCATGGGCTGTACTTGTACATAGCCACAGGGAGCCTTAGTGCCGTTTTTCTAGCTGCTGCCACTCTGCAGACCTCCCCGCCTTCCTTCGGCTCGACGGGAGCTGCCAGACCTAAGAATTTGCCACAGCGATAATGAATAAGTATCTCAAGGTGGTATTATGCCCGTGCGTTTTCTAGAATGATGAAGAGCTGACGAGGGTGCTGGGAGGCGGTGGCTGGAAGCATGGGCACGGTGGGATGGACCTGCATCCAGCCTTACTAGGAGCGTGCTGTTCCCTCTGGTGTGACTGCGGGCCACCACGTGAACTTGGCGGGCGGCAGAAACCGGTGGTAAAGCCCTTCCTTGTAATGAAGAGAGTTCTCTGGAAGTCAGTCTTTGTAATTATTGAAAGGTTTCTTTTTTGGCGTAACAGCAAGAGCCTTAATACTTAACCCTGAAACGTACCTAATTGTGCCCGCAGACGGTTCCGTGTGCGGAGTCCCTTCTGCCCGGGACCAGCCCGAAATACAGGCGCCGAGCGGCTCCTGCTGCGTGGCGCACGGCTGCCCCTCGGCCTGCCAGCGCCTGCGCGGTGTCTCCGAAGGGGAATCGGTGCTGTGAGCGCTCCTGCTCCTGCCGACGGGAAGAACCCGGAGGCAGCAGGGCTGGGGCAGCTGAAAGCCAGGCCGGGTTGCTGCGTAAGGGAGGGATCTTTTGCAGACGTGATGGAAGTAGCTGCTGTCGAACAGCCCGATAACTGACGGAGGAGCTGTCAGCTTCCTCCCTGAAAGTTGTAAACCGTAGGAACAATGGCGTGCGCGCGGGGAGCGTGGCTCAGCAGACCAGGCGCATCAAGTCGGGCTCCGCTGTCGTGGCTCTCTAGCGTTTACAAGGAGATAAGGAATTGTTGGACTGTTGCGCTTTCCTCTGGTGTCTTTTTGCCTCATCATGATGCTTGTGGTGTCCGAGCTGCTGTAGGGATAGTTTCAGATTAAAATGGAAGGCGTTTCATGCTTTAAAAATGAAAACCTGCATCAGTAACGTTAGTGTGGGGGAGATGCTTGCATGTCCAGTGGCCTGACCTCTGGACCACGAAGCCTGGGGTGTTTTTTTCTTGTGTGGATTTACTTTACAAATCTGATGCTGTGTCAGCTCCACCTTTTGTGGAGGGGCATCGAGAGTCCTTTCCAGATAGACTGAACTTGGACTTGAAATCGGCTGTAGAGACCGTTAAGATGCTTCTGGCTGCCCGCTTTGGCAGGCTCTGCGTTGTTTCGGCTACACGTGCTACATAGGAAAGCACACGGTTTCGTTCGTGCACTTGAAGTGGTGCTGTGAAGGTGGATCTTTAGCGCTAAAGGCTTCTGACTGTTCTGTAAATACATGAACGCAAATTGAAAAAAAGGAGAAAGGAAAAAAAATGTTTAGGGCCAACAGTAGTGTTATCCATGGGATACTGCAACTCCCTCAGCTTTCTGCATCTGACAGGGACACCGAGGGAGAGCCGCTGCGCTGCCGTTTCGTTCCCGAGCCGGGAACCGGCCCAGCTCCTGTGCCCGCCCGCCAGCCCTGGTCTCGGAGCCGGCTGTGTGCCGCAGGGCCGCACTCGGCCGAATCGCTCCTCAGCAATTGAATGACCAAAGCCTTTGGACCACGCGGTGGTTTGCTGTTCTTTCAAAATTACTTCCTCGGTTTCAGTAATAACCGAAGATATTCGCTTATCTTCAAGTGGGTGGTTTTCACCCTGTTTAAATTTGTGCCTTGTACCCTCCCCTCCCCTGCCGCAGGGAGAACGGGCAGCCCCTGCGTTGCACCCGCCCGCATTCCCCCGAGCGGCGCCGAGGCCCCTCTGGGGCGGCCGCAGCGGTGCTGCGACTCGGGCTGCGAGGCGCGGGCTGGATCGCCGCGGTGCTGCGACCCTGCCTCCTCCCGAGGCCGCTTGGATGCAGCCGCACCGCGTTCCGGAGACGTCCCCATTGCCCCCGCTTACCGGGGCAGCGGGACCCGTGCTTGGCTTTGAAAGACGATGCGTAATGCTTTGGCCTTCCCCGACCTGCCCTGGCTCTCCCCGCGCCCGCAGCGTCAGGGACAGGGTTCCCCCTTCGTCTCCGAGTAGTGCTAGGCAAGTTTTCACTCGAGCATGGATCCGACCTCTGAAGGGAAGCTCTGGTATGAGATGTTGTGAGCAGGGTGCCGAGGTGAGGCATGGTCTGCACCACGGCGTTACCGAGCTGGAGCGTCGGCACGATGGGGGCGGCTCGGGAAGGCAGGCGCCTGCTGGGAGAGCTGGGGTGCTGCCTCTGGCTGGGCACGGCCGAGCTCACGGCAGTTACCCCATCCTCCTCCCCGCCTTCACTTAACAGCTCGTGCTTCCAAAGAGAAAATCGCGTGCAGCAATGCTGGAGGGGGCGAGTGTGAAAGAGCAAACCGAGCACCTTCACTGCATGCATATCTGCTTTGTTGTAACAACACTAAGGAGTAGTCAAGACAAAACCAGACGCCGATGTGAAGCCACCTCGGAGAGGACGCTAGACCCTGCGCTGCAGTATTTATCTGAATCGAAATTCTGAATGTTTACCTCAGTGTAAATACCTTAACCTTTCCAGTGGGAGGAAAGGCGTATTGCATGGAGCAATCACCGTCCCCATCGCTTTGCCAAACACGTCATCCTCTCCAAGACGGGCTTCACGTCGGTACGAACACTGTCCCTCTTTGGACCCTTACCTTTCTAGGATGTGAATGGTAAAATGTGAATATTTGTTGTTTACTTCATTAGGCATAATTCATGATGATGTGTTTATATGAAGAATATCACAGACTGAAGCAAAACCATATGCAATTGGTTTACTTTATTATAAACTGTATATGATGTACAAACTAATAAAAACTTAAATGACGACAGTCTCACTGTTGTTCTTTAACAGCCAAATAGAGGAGATGCTCCAGCTGCGCACGTCGGTGCTGGACGTGACCGGGGGCGCCGGGCTGGCCCCGGGGCCCCGGAGGGAGAGCGGGGCGGCCCGGCGCAGGCGCTGCCCAACGCGAGGGTTGCTGCACAAAGCCCTGTGGGGTTTCGGCCCAAGCTGAATATGGGGCACCCGCCCCTCTGCCGGTGCAGACGCTGCCCGGGGTTTCTCTGAAGATAAGGGATGATTACAGTGCTGTGGGGGCGGATGTATATATGGATCACTTTTTTATGTTATAATGAGAATTTATTGTCATCCATCTTTTTGAAACAGCAGGAACTGTTTTGCTTTATCGGTAAACTTGCCGAGGGTTTACCAGATCAGCCCCGAAGCACTCCTTGCGTTTGGGTTAAGCATTCAGAGGAGAAACGCTTCTCGCACGGGCAGCGTTGGGCGGCCCCGGCGGCAGCGCGCACCCAGCCGCAGCTGAGCTGCGCCCAGGCGCCAGCCCCTTCGCAGATAGGAGCCCAGCACCCGCTTGTCAAACACCGTAAGTATTTACATATGTTAATGCGGGATTAATTTCACTACACAGTTCCCCAAACGCTGAGCCATAGCATGAGTTTAAACCGCTGTCCTGACCTGACTCCGTTAGTTGAGCGCTGTGTTAAGTGAAGCGGTGACCACAGCTCCGCTGGCAGGCGGCCTGGCTAAGAGCAAAACCGTAAGTTGCAATAAAACAGACTTAATAACAGAAGTGCTTGATCATTAACTTTTTTTCCCAGCCAACGGTTTAGGTTTGAGCAGACTTAAGTTACGCAGTTACGATACCTCCACTTACTTCCTAAATTACGATGTTACTGCCTTCCTAACTTTTAACATTCAAGTGCATTAGAGAAAAGTAGTAAAATCTTGCATGAAGTACAGCTCGATACTTCAGACACGATTTTAGTTTCTGTCAAATCAGATGGAAAAGACGTTAGTTCATCTCTTCCGCTCCCTGCCAAGGCAGGATTTCTCTACAGGACACGGACACTGGACGGCGCTTGGTCCAGCCCACTCTGACGGGACGTGAAACGCCTGGAGCCGCGCTACAGGAACCGAATGCCTCTCCCGGTATTTCACTTGTTTCCCCTTCTGTGATATTCTCTTCTTTAAGTCCACGATAGCTCTTTAAGACATCATCTGGCAACGTGCTTTCCTTCTGCCCGCTCCCCAGCGCGTTCCTTCCCTGCAACGAAGGGAGCGTTCGCGCGCAAGCAGCGAGCGTGAATTGGGGAAGCCTGGCCGGCGGCAGGACCGACCGCTGCTCGCGGCTGCTGGAAACCCTGCTGCCCTCCGCGAGGTCTCTTCTTGCAGGCTGAACTATCGCTAACTGCCAGGCTTGAGAGAAGTGATCCACGCCTGGGTCTCGCTGGTTCTTACCCCGGGATTCAGCTACCAGAATGACAGACGTCCGCCCCTCGGGGCAGAAGAAGGGGAGAGACATTACGCAGTTCGCTTCGCTTGGCTTCAGGCCGGTTATGTACAGGCTTTGGTCTGCCACTGCGCGTAGTACTGACAGGTAAAGATCTAACGATTGTGGTTCATGGGGAAGTTATAAAAGACCGTAGGAGATCTTCCTCCGAGGAAGGAAACAAGCAGCACCCGTGGCTGGTTCTCTCCAAAGCTCCTCCTTTAAAACACGCTCGGCACCAGTTACGTGGCAGTTTTCCTTTGTCAGTCACGAGTTGCTTGTTTTCTTCCTTGTTCTGAGGCCAATAAACTCTCTCCCCAGAGAGGTTTCACGCTGGGGTTGGCAAAAGGGCTTACTTTAGTAAAGGTAGAATTATTTCTCTTTACACGTTTAAAGGTTACAGGAGTTACTTGCCTTCTAAAAACAAACCACCGAGCTACCCTGCCCGTGCTCCTAGATGATGGTGCAGGAGCTAAAAGCAGAGCCCCGTTTGTTGGTGCTCTGCGTTGGCACGAGTTTCCCTTTTCCATAGTAACCTGAGAATATTGCCTTCACGTTGATCTTTTTGGAAAGGGCGAGCATCCACATACCGTTATCAAAATACAGCAGTTTCCCTCCTCCAATTTCCCCCACTTCATCCCCTTTGTTCCCTGCCTTTTCCAGTTTCACAAACTCCAGCAGATCGAGCCCGGTCTGGACCGCTTCGACGCCGTTGGCGCAGCCAAGGGTGATGTGAGCCCGGCTGCCTTTCGGCAGGTTGTCGGTGGGCAGGATCTTATCGGCGTCTCCAGGCCAGAGCAGCAGCTGCTGCTCGCTCAGCTCCACGCGAGCACCAACAGTTTTTGTTGTGATGAACAGAGCAGAGATGGACAAGGTGAAGCCTTTGCCGTAGGAAGCTTTCACAGCCTGGGAGAAGAGGGAGACAAGTCCAGAGCACAGCATTAACCGACTGCGGGCAGGTGGGACTTAGAGCAGCGTGCTTGGCTTTACTGTCCACGGGCGCGGGGGCTCGGCTGGTCGTGGGAGCTCTTGCTTTGAGACATTTGAACCACCGTGTGCAAGGGTAATGGGCACGTTGAAGGGCAGCGAGGCTGGGGCAGGGGCTGGGGGCCAAGGCCGGGGGGGGGGGGGCGGGGGGGGGGGGGG